CTCTCACACCGATGTTTCTACCTATCTCTCCAAAAAAATCAATAAAAACATATTTTAAAAAATGGGCAGAGGCCCTGAATAGACACTTCTCCAAAGAGGATGTACAAATGACCAACAGACATATGAAAAGATGCTCAATGTCACTAATCATCAGAGAAATGCAAATTAAAACCACAATGAGATATTTCCTCCCACTGGTCAGAATAGCTATCATCAATAAATGAACAAACAAATGTTGGCGAGGATGTGGGGAAAAGTGAACACTCATGCTCGGTTGGTGGGAATTCAGACTGATGCTGCCACTATGGAAAACAGTTTGCAAGGTCCTCAAAAAATTAAAAATGGCCCTGGTCCTTAGGCTCAGTGGTTGGAGCATCAGCCTGCGGACCAGAGAGTCTCGGGTTTGGTTCCCGCTAGGGGCACGTACCAAAAAATAATTACAAATGATCCAGTGATTTTAATTCTGAGTATGTATCTGAAGAAACCCCCAATAACTAATTTGAAATAATATAGAGTGGGGCAAAAGTAGGATAATAGTTGCTTGAATGGAAAATAATACAATAACTAATAAATAATAAAAATCAATTCTGTTTTGCATATTCACAACTGTAAATCTACTTTTGGCCCACCCTGTATATGCACCCTATATTCATTGCAGCGTTATTTACAATAGCCAAGATATGGAAGCAGCCCAAGTTTCCATTAGTAGATGAGAGGATAATACAGTTTTGGTACATATACAAAGGAATATTACTTGGCCATAAAAAAATGAATGAAATCTTACCACTTATAAAAGCATTGATGGAGCTAGATAGTATTATGCTAAGTGAAAAAAATTAGAGAAAGACAAATATTATATGATTTCACTTATATGTGGAATCTAAAGAAAAAAATAAACAGGGGTGGCAAGAAAGTGGACTGGACTGATGGAGGAGGTCACAGTGTGCCCGTCAGCCTTCTTTTCAGAGTGCTGGCATCTAGGCGGAGCCCCTCCTCTTGATTTAGAGCAACAGGCTAAAGGCTTGGAGTGTGGGATGGCCCTCGACCCTGCACAGGCCCCTCAATCTTCTCTGAACCCAGAGACTAGTGTGGGCTTATGGAATGCAGCAGTGACTGTGGCTTGCCCCTGTGTCTACAGTGGCTTTATCTGGACTGAGGCTGACAGCACCAACCCCATAAGGACATGTGAGGAGTAGCCAAGGTGACCCCCACAGCACTGCGTACTCAGAGCCAGCAGCCCAGGGCAAGTTCCCACCAGATATCAAGGCACTTGCTCCTTGCCTGCCCCCAGTGTGTATGCACATGTGTACACATACCATGAGGTCGGGGGTGGAGGTGTTCTGTGTGTTGACCCTGGAGGGTCTGCATAGGGAGGGTCTCCATCTTCTCTCCTCTCTCAGATACTTTCAGTCACAGTGTAGAAAGCAGGGTGGGGAGGGGCAGGTGGGAGCTGATGACTAAAGAAGCCTCCACATCCTCAGGGCAGGAGGTGACAGGAGTGGGGGAGGTGAGAAATAGTACTGACATTGGGGACAAGGGACAGGCAGGAGCCTAGTGGCCAGGGATCAGTGGGCATGCCCCAAGGGTTTTGGGTACCCAAGACACCCTCTGCTCTTTCCCCTGTCCTCCTGCTCATCCATCAGTGGTGGGGGCCCACTGTGGGGAGTAAAGAAGGCACCCTTGAGTCTACTTTTGCTCAAATCTCTGTATCACTAGAATGCAGAAGTGGCCCCCTGGAGCTGCTCCTGTGATGAGAACTTCCTCCAAAACCCTGATCAGAGTCCTTCCTAGTAATTGTTCCATGCAGTCCAACAACCCCCACACCCTCCTGAACTGCTTGGCCAATAGAAGCAAAGCCACAGAGGAACCCCAGAGAAGAAGGGCCCTAGCTGTCCAGAACTTATTTACTCTCATGATGCCTGGTGTGAATCCAACTGAGCCTCCTGCTTCCCCATCTGCATTGGGGTGGCCTCCTTGGAGGGCAGTGTCAGGACACACACACACACTCAGGCATGAGCAGGTGAAGAGCTCCCTGTTAAATGCAGGGCAGGTGTCCTTGGGTTAGACAGAGCTCCAGAGCGTCGGTACTGCTGCACTGGGCTAATTGGAGCAACAGTTATTTCCCATTTTCTTTTAACAAACTGCCTGTTAGGGTCTTCTCTCCATGTTTCTACTGGATTGTTGTCTTTTCCTTATGATTCTTGGTAATTCCTTCTATATACTGGATATGCATCTTTTGTCAAATGTATATGTGTTGCAGATATCTTTTCCTAAATCCTGGCTTGTCTGGCCACTTCCTCTTTTATAACTCCTAATGAACTCTTTTATACTCTTTATAACTCTTAATGTACATTTTAATGTACAAAAATAACCAATTATAAGGTAGTCAAATTGATTCATATTTTTCTTTATTTTTTTCTTTATTTTTGATGTTTTGTTGAAGAAATCTTCCCTATCCCACAGTCATAAAGATAATCTGCTCTGCTGTCATCTAAAAGTCTTGCGGTTTTCTTCATGGTGCTCGGGCCTGTGGCTGTCTTGGAATTGATGGTTGTGAGTGATGCTCGAGCATTGTATAATAAAATTTCCATCTTGGAAAGACCTTGCCTTTGCGTAGTGGAGTGAACAGAACAGTGATATGAGCAGGAGCAGGGGACAGGGTGGGGATGTGTGGAACCAGTGTAATGCATAAGGCTCAGGGATGCAGGGACCCTGTAGGAGGGAATGCTGTTCAGGACACTGAGGTTTCTGTTGGTCAAGCAACCATAGGACATGAGGGTGCATGTTAACTGGCCATGACCCAGAGCCCAGCGTCTCTCCTGATCCATCCCAGGAGACAGTGGAAATAGAGGGCTGGACCCCAGAAGAGCAGCCCTGGCTCCTGGAGACTGTTGATCACAGTGTGAGAAGGGCTTTGAGTAGTGTCTGCCTCAGTGGCTCCAATGAGGATACGTTAGCAAGTAGACAGAGAAGTGGGGACAGCTCTGGTGCCAAAACAGGTGGCAGCAATGGACATTTTCCCAGGCCCACTGTGGCACTAACACTCACACCTCCTCACCATACCTCTGAGAGGGGTCTCCAACTCCATCTCAGGAATGAGGAAAGCAGGCTTGGAAACAGACGGGACTTGCTGCACGTGAACCAACCATGCCAGAATCTGCACTCAAGTGAGTGGCTCAGAAGTCCACAAGGAAGCAAGGTGCTTGGTCTGGTTTGTTGGTTTGTGTGTGTGCAGTGTAGCAGAGTGGCTAAGTTGAGACCACAGACTAGAGCTAGACTACCAGGGGTAGCATTCCAGCTCTGCCACCTACCAGCTAGAAAACTTGGGCAAGTCATTTCACCTTTCCCACCTCAGTATACTCATCTATAAAATGTAGCAGAGTCCTGTGTAGATCCAATGGTAGATTAGTGCTTGTTCAATAAAATAGTAAATAGGACTTTTGAAAAAGAAGCTCACCCTCACTCAGAGACATGCAAATTAAAGCCACAATGATAAACTGGTGCATATCACCAGATAGGCAACAACTCCAGAGTGACAGTGCAAAGTGTTTGTGAGGATGGGTGCTGCCAGGACCCTCCCAAACTGCTGCCAGAACTGCAAACCCAGCTATCATTTGGGGGAACTGTTTTGGGGTATCCACCCAAAGTAAACACAAACCAATATGGTGACCTAACAGTCCACCCCAGATTCTATCTGCTGCCAAGAGCCTACGAAGATATGTCCATAACAGCTCACTGCACAGTGGGCCTAAACCAAGGATGCTGGTCCATCTTTAGATGGGATGACCAGTACCACGTGTAAGGACACTACAAAGCGGAGTGAACAAAATGCTCATCAGCAACCCCACCAAGATGGGTCCTCACAGCGGGCAAATTGAGCCTCTGTGATGTCTACGACAAGCACAGCAAAACAGCAGACCATGCTGAAATAAGCAAAGGAAACCAAGGGAAGGATGAACCCAAAAATAGGATAGGGACTGTCCGAGGGGACGTAGAGGACGAGGGGCTAGGGACCCCCCCTTGGCCGAGCTAAGTTCCTTACCCTGGACTGGATCTGTTTTCTGTGGAGATGACAGGTTCTCACAGGACATGGGCATGAAGGTACTCTGCTGCTGTCACCCACCCACCTCATTTTCCCACCACAAAGCTCTCTGGCCCTTTTGGTTTTGTTAGACACGCTCCTGCGCCTCGCCTCACCTTCCCTGGGGCATTTACCTAGGGGGCCACCCACGCCCCACCTTTGGGGGGCTCTTAGAACGCTCAGGCTTCAGGGTAAGCACCATGGGTACTGCAATCGGCTCTCCTGCTGGGCAGCCCCGCCCCGGCGCCTCCGCCTCCCCGGCCTCAGTCTGAGACAGCCCGGTTTCCATTCCGCCACGCCCCCCCCCCCCCCCCCCCCCCCCCCGCCCCGGACTCTGGGACTGAACTTTCCTCCAGGGTCGTGTCCATATCAGTGAATGCGCAGCACGGAGGGGTTTGGCATGGGTCTTGCGGCCCGGCCGGAAGAGGCCATCGTTTTGCTTACCGGAGAGGGTACCCACCCCACTTAACAGTTGGGATCGCAGAAGCCAAGAACCGAGGACCTAAAGCGCTTCATGACCCTGGATATAGGGTGCTTTCTTTCCTTGGGCCTTGGTTTACCCTTCCGTGAACGACGATTGTGCTCCTAGCCCAGGCGCACCGAGGCCGGGTCATGTCCCTGCCTCCTGGAGAGGCGGGCTTCGCACAAACCGGACGCGGGGACCACCAGTGGAAATCCTGCCGCTGCCCCGGCGCGGAGCCATCGAAGGCCGGCAGCTACAGCGCTCTTAAAAGGCACGCAGTGGGCCCAGGGGGCTCGCGGCGCGGGGCAGAGCGCCCTCTGGAGGCCGCTGCAGGCCCCGGCCAGTCCTTGCCAGGCCCTCCCCGGATTCGGGCGGCGCATGCGTATAGCGCGGCGCTCCGCGGGCGGCGAGATCGAGGCTGGTCCGCAGCCGTTCGGCGTTCGTCTCCCCATTCATGCTGGGCAGCAGCGACGCGGCAACGCTACAGAGCTTGTGTGCGGCGGCGGCGGCGGCGGCCTCGAGCAGGGCGGTCTACGCGGCTGGGGCGGCCCCGCGGCTGGGCAGGCGGCGGCGGCGTGGGCGACGGGGCGCGGCGATGGCCCGCGGCGGGGCGTGCCCCGGGGCAGCCTGTGAGTAGGGGCGCAACTTTCCCCTTGGCGGGGAGCGGGGAGCGGGGACGACGGGCGTCCCAGGCGAGGGCGCCCCGGGTGGGAGACGCCCACGGGCCCGCAGCGGCGGCCTCCACCGGGAAGCGGACGTGCGACCGGGCGGGCAGGGGGTGTGCATGGGGGACTGCGGCGCGCGTGTCCGCGTGTCCCTGCGGCTCGTCCCCCGCCTGTGCCGGGCGCGGCTGCGGCGCCGAGCTCGTGGTGTCTCCGCTCAGCCGTAGTCGGATCCGGCCCAAGGCCCCGCGCCATTGGTCTCCCCACCGGCCGGGCCTGGCCTGCGGAGCTGCGCGGGGCGGCGAGGCTAGGGCCAGCGCTGCCCTCTCCTCAAAGGCAGGAAAGAAAGTTTGCGGCGTCTCCACGGGGAGGACCCTTGTGGGTGCCCAGGCCGCGCCCGGGTCGGACCTAAGGCCGCCGACTGGGCCAGACAAGGTGGGCTTGGGGGAGCTGGAGGAGGGCGTGCGAGTCTGCGTCTCCGTGAGTCCCTTAGGGCCCCGGGGTGAAAGCTGGAACCGCTTCCCCGGGACTCACGCTCGCCCCTTATTCCTCTGGCCTCGGGCGCTGGGAGATGGGTGCTGTGTCCGCCCCAGGCCCTCTGGGCCGCGCACCCGGGCTGGGAGAGGGCGGTCGCCCCGCTCGCTCGGGCCTTCTCGACCTCAGACTCCCCCTCGCAGGGCCTCTCCAGGGTCAGCCTGCTTCCCTCGCAGGCTTCCGATTGCTTCCTGAAAGGACCAGGCCTGTTGTGCACCACAGCTGGGGACAGGGTGGCTGATTGCAGGGTGCCTCTGGGAAGGGTGAGTGGGGCTCCAGGGAGTCCCCTGCGTGCTGTGAGATCCAAATTGCAGTCCAGGAAAGGGAGGTGAGAGGAGCTCCAGTGACTGCTTAGAGCCTGGAGCTGCCATTGCTCTTCTGTGGGGTGCTGGGGCCACGCCCCTTGAAAGAAAGGGGGGTGTGTGTGTTGAGAGTGATGTAGACGATGCCTTTGCCCCCTGAACCCGAGCTTCCGCACCTTCTTCTTCTATGCCAGGGCCGGTTCTCTGGGTCTGTGCAGGGAGTGGGGGTTGGGGAAGGGCTCAGTCTTTGCTCTCTGGTCCCTGTGGAGCACCTCCAAATACCCTTGGCTCCCTGCTAGTTTGGGATCTGCAGAAGAGACCAGGTGTTGCACCAGGCTGCTAAGACTCTGCCCAACCCTTGAGTGCTCACCCAGCCCCAATGCCAGAGGTAGACCATTCTGCTTCAGGGCTAGGCTGCAAGTCAGCCTGGGAGGGTGGCACAGAGGCCTAGCAAGGGCGTTTCAGGCACTGAACAGCATGGACAGAGATCTCACAAGCCCCTTTGTGGTTGAGGTGTGTTCTTGGGAGTAGGGGACAAGTGAAGTGCCATGGACAAAGCAGACAGCCTTTTTCTGGCCTCCTGTGGCCCCGAGGTCATTGCCTTTGTGCTCTGATCCCCAAAGAAGCCCCCCAGCCCCAGGTCTAAAGCAGCTGGCTAGGAGAAGAGCCCACCACTTCCAGGGAAGGCCAAGGGGTGGGCACTTTTTCTGAGAAGCCGGACTCCGGTGCCCCCAGATCTTGGTCCCTTAGGGCTGGTGGGAGAGCAGGTCATCTTGGGACCGCCTCTGTTGGGAGAGTTGAGGTGACAGGCAGCTCTTTGTCCTGGTTAATAATGGTATACCACTGGGCAGCATGGTAGTATCTTCTCAGTCCACCCGTGCTCCAAACTGTCCAAGCCCTAGAAGAATCCAAATCCAGGGATGTGGTGCTTGAGTTCATCCTCTATGAAGAAGATTCTGAGTGAATGAAGGTCTTTGTTTCTCAGGATGAGGAAGAGTGATGGAGGGGGCCACTGGGAGAGGGACAGGGGACATTGCTCTCTCCATACTCTGTTGTATAGCTGAGCCTATCCTATCCAGGAGTGGAGCCTGCTGTGCCAGGCCTATCTGCTTCTGTCCTGGTCTCTCTTCTCTCCCTTGCTCACCCCCAGTTAGCACACCCAACACCAGTTCAGCTTCTTCCTCCCCAGTCTGGCTCTGTTTGGACTCCAACACAGCCCGCTTCCCATGCCAGGAAGCTGCAGCCATTCTCACTGCTCTCTCCAGGAGGTTCCACTCCAGCATTTGCTCTTGTTGTCTGCCACCCAAGCCGCCCCCTCCCTGCCCTCTCCCCAGCAAGCTCCCTCTGTGCCTAGTTTTTCTAGAACTGGGCTCCTTGGGGAGCTTCCCCAGACCACAGTGACTGGTTCTGCTTCCTCCTAGCTTGAGAGCACAGCTTGTTTGGTGCACTCTTCCCCTAGCCTAGCATGGCCCTCCCCAGCACCCAGGCAGCTTTGGAATGAATGCATTTTTTCCTGGGCAGACCAGAGGTATGTGGGAGTCCCAGCAAGTCTGCTGGATGTCCAGGTCTCTTGGAGCAAAGGAATCCATCCCTGTCCTGCCTGGACTAGCTGACTGACTTTCGGTCTACCTGAGCCCTGGGTACCCTATTTCTAAGACAGCAGGGACCCAGCTCTGGGTTCCAGAGGCCCCTTTTCCTGGCTGGCAGCCCCATCCCTTTGGCCTATCCTTCAGTTCCCTTCCCGGCAGTCTCTATTGCAGGAGGAGAGGGGGAGTGGGCTCAGGGTTTGGATGGTGGCTTCCTCAGTTGGGTCCCTCCTGTTTAATATAAAAAGTAGGGCCCATAATTGCATTAAGATGTGTGTAATTATCCCGGAGGAGGGGAGAGCCCAGCCCCTGGTAATTGCAGGTCTGCTTTGAACTGATAAAGGGTGAGTGATCCATGTTTTCTTTGGAGTTCACATGCACTCAGCTTTCAGCCTAGGCCTTGCTACCACTGGGAAGAGCCTTTTCTCAGGTCTGCCTTGGGCTCCTGAGCTGGGGGTAGGCTGTGTGGGGTTGGGCACTCCTCTCCTGGCTGCCAACAGAGGTCCCAGGTGGTTGTAGTTCTTGGGGCTATGTCTGGGCAGAGATCCTCAAGGAAAAGCAGCTAACAGCAAGGCAGCACAACCTGGTTTTCTTGCTGGTGGGATCCTGACTAACACCGCTTGCTTCCTGATCATTGGTTTCCCTACCTGAGCAGTGGGTGTGGGCATTCACTGGGCAGAAGTGTGTGGAGAGTGAGGACAAGATAAGGGATCAGGTCCTGCTCTGTCCAGGACTCATTAATTCATTCTCAAGTATGGGCTCTTGGGATCAGCTTTGGGGATACCTCTGGCAAACCACAGAGAGCTAGGGCTTGTTCTCAGAGAACTGTTATTTTAGTGGGGAGAGTGTCTGGGAACAATAAGTAACAAAACCATTTGCAAGTCTTGGGCAGCAAATTTAAACTGAGTGACTGACTGTGAGGGAGCAGCTGCTACCTATAGCCAGCAAATCAGGGGAGACAGCTGAGACTGAGCAGGGGCATGGGGGTAGGAGAGGGAAGAGCACTCAAGGGGAGAGTATAGCAAATCCAAGGGCCCAGGGGAAGGCAGACATGGAGGCCTCCGGACCCCTGGGCCTTGTCTGGCAGCTAGCTGCCCTGTGCCCAGGTCCCGACCTGAACTTGGCAGAGGGTCCTTTGGGCCTCAGCTTCCCTATCTATAAAATGGGGCTGCCAGGCTATATTAGGGGCATTGTCTAGGAGCAAGGATGTGTGCAGCTTGCCTACAGTTGGTGCTCAGCATCTCTGGTCAGTCTCCAGCCAAGAGTTGGGTGAGAGGTCCCAGCACATCTGGCAGAGCCAGGGCAGGGCCCCTGCTGGCGTGGAAAGGGTACTCCTGCTGATGGCACCTTGCAGGAGTGCCCTGATCTTCTCCCCATTTTACCCACGAGAAGGGAGCTGTTGTCATCCCTATTTTACAAATGGGAAAACAGGGCTACATGGTTATAGAGTCTGGATTTAACCCAGTGCCTGACTGCCAACTTCTGGACTCGGGGAAGATGAGACTTTTCCGTAAGAAGGGGGTCCATGGCAGGATTTGGGGAGGGGGTGCTGGAAACCTTATGTGTCATTCAGAAAAGTGGCGCAGGGTCCTGTTTGAAGACTGGGTTGTGAGCAGAGAGGGCCAAGTGCTGTGGTCATCCAGGTGGGAGAGGGGTGGGCAGATTAGGGGAGACTTAGGGGGTGAGTGTGACCTGGGGATTAAAGATGAGGGTCATGGGGCTGCCTGGGGCCTGGTATGAAGGTGGATGGTGCTGGGAGTGTGTTGAGGGTGGGGGTGGAGGGGCTGGAGGTTGGGGAGGGCCATTGCTGAGGGGTAGGGTTCAGGGAGTCCCTGTTCTGCTTTCTCTTTCCTTGGAGTTGGGTTGAGGGTTTTGAAGGGGAACTTGGAGGCAGTTAACCAGGGAAGTTGTCTGGGGATGGTAGGTGGTGGGTGCATACAGCTTGGCTTTTGGATCAGTCTGCAGAGTATGGAGGCTGGCCCCAGGGCCAAGGTGACCCAAATTGATTTCTGCTTGCACTGAGCATTACTGCCCATATGTCCTTGTCTGCTGTGGGGGTAGTACCTGCAAGTAGGATTGTCCAGGGACTACAAGTAAGCACCTGTCCCCAGAGCCTTGAGCAGAGGCTTTCACCCGCCCTGGGAGCCTTGGACCTCCCCTAGGACATGGGGAGGCTCTGAGTCAGGAGGTGATGGCTCCCAAGCCCTTCTCACCTGCCTCCTTGTTCCTCGGTCCATTACTCTCTTCCACCTAGCCGGCAGTGGCAGGCCTAGACATTCATGGTGCATGTCTGGTGGGCAGACAGGTGTCCTGTGCTACATGCTGGGATCACAGGCTTGATCTTGGTGATTCCTGGCCCACTCCTTGCTGTTTGCAGGGCTTTAGGCTGCGGAGGTATCCTCTCTGTACCTCTGGCTTCTCCAGGGTTAGATCATGCCCTTGGATGTGGAGCATGGGATGCCCCAGCCTAGATAGGCACACCAGAGAGCTCAGCAGATGGCATTTGGCATGTCTGCCCTCTCGGGAGTAAGGCCTTGCCCACACTCACACCTTTTGTTGTTCTCCCCACAGGGCTGAGGCTCCTGGCCCCGTGATGCACATCCCTGCAGGACCTGTGTGCCGAGGCCTGAAGCCCAGGCCTGCCATGTCACTGCTACGTCTGAGCCCGTGGGTGCTCCTGAAGCTGCTGCTGCTGCTGGGGGTTATTTGGGCAGTGGCAGGTGCCACTAGAGCGGTTAGGGGTCCTCAGCCTGTCTTCCGCACCTTCTCGGCCATTGATTGGGGCCTCACCCACCTGGTGGTCCACGAGCAGACAGGCGAGGTGTACGTGGGTGCGGTGAACCGCATCTACAAGCTGTCAGGGAACCTGACACTGCTGCGAGCTCACGTGACTGGCCCTGTGGAGGACAACGAGAAGTGCTACCCGCCGCCCAGTGTGCAGTCATGCCCCCACGGCCTGGGCAGCACCAATAATGTCAACAAGCTGCTGCTTTTGGACTATGCTGCTAATCGCCTGCTAGCCTGTGGCAGCGCCTCCCAGGGCATCTGCCAGTTCCTGCGGCTGGATGATCTCTTCAAGCTGGGCGAACCGCACCACCGCAAGGAGCACTACCTTTCGAGCGTGCATGAGGCAGGCAGCATGGCAGGTGTGCTCATTGCCAGGCCACCGGGCCAGGCCCAGGCCAAGCTCTTTGTGGGCACACCCATCGATGGCAAGTCTGAGTACTTCCCCACACTGTCTAGCCGCCGGCTAATGGCCAACGAGGAGGATGCAGACATGTTCAGCTTTGTGTACCAGGACGAATTTGTATCGTCACAGCTCAAGATTCCTTCAGACACACTGTCCAAGTTCCCGGCCTTTGACATCTACTACGTGTACAGCTTTCGCAGTGAGCAGTTTGTGTACTACCTCACTCTGCAGCTGGACACACAGCTGACCTCACCAGATGCCGCCGGCGAGCACTTCTTTACCTCCAAGATTGTGCGGCTGTGTGTGGATGACCCCAAATTCTACTCATATGTTGAGTTCCCCATTGGCTGCGAGCAGGCGGGGGTGGAGTACCGCCTGGTGCAGGATGCGTACCTGAGCCGGCCTGGCAGTGCCCTGGCCCGCCAACTGGGCCTGGCTGACAATGAGGATGTGCTGTTCACCGTGTTTGCTCAGGGCCAGAAGAACCGTGTGAAGCCACCTAAGGAATCAGTACTATGCCTGTTCACGCTTAGAGCCATCAAGGAGAAGATCAAGGAACGCATCCAGTCCTGCTACCGTGGTGAGGGCAAGCTCTCACTGCCCTGGCTGCTCAACAAGGAACTGGGCTGCATCAACTCGGTGAGTGGGCACCTTGCCCTGCCAGCCTCACAAATGGGCAGCTTTGGCTCAGTGTGACTTCATTCACCTCTGAAAGAACAACATTGTTGACCACATGCCCATGTTCTAGGTGCCTCTGCTTGCCCATTGTCTCCTAGAGGGTAGGAGTTGATCCCTTGGTGTGGGCCTCAGAGCCTGCTTGTAGATCTGTGCTATTCTCTTCTTTAGGAGATGGGGGTGAGGGGAACAGGACCGTATTCTTCAGTCCACAAGTCCCTGTGTATGTTGGACAGAGTACGGTACACGTTCCTGGCACTGTTCTGGGTGCTTGCTGGTCCCACATAGTCTCCCTTTTACGGGTGAGGTCTCTGAGGCTCAGAGAGATGAGGTGACTTGCCTGGGGTCACACAGCCAGTAAGAGGCAGAGCTGGAGTCAGACCAGGGTCAGGTGGGCACCAGACACTGTCTCCCCCTACAGTCCCCTGTCAAGAGCTCTGCTCATCCTTGTCTTAGGTGCCTGGCCATGTGTCTGCCCTCTTGGCCTCTCTGCTTTCACTTGGCAGTGGGATCTGATGACACCAGTCCTGATATTGGAGCTGCCTGAGCACATGGGTACTGGGGGGAGCTCAGTAGCTTGCAGCCATAGCTCCTGTCTCTAGGCCTGATAGGGCCAACTGGTTTTTGGAAAGCGTCTCATATCACCAGGTGATAGCAATCACTATTTTCCAGAGGAAGACACCAGGCTTAAAGGGGAACTTGTTCAGGGTCACAAGTTGAAAGAGCTGGGAATTCACCCAGGTTGGGGACTTCCCGAGCCAGGCTCAGCCCCACTGCTCCTGCTGCCTGGGACTTGCCACCACCCTGGCCTCAGGTTTCCCATGTCTGTACTGGGAGTGACACTGGTTTGTGGGACAGGTGGGACAGTGAGGGTCCCCTTCTCACGTCCAGTGCAGTGGGGGTGCCTCATGACAGGGCCACCCTCCACATCCTAGGTGCACTAGGCAGATGCATCATTCATCCTTCTCTTGGCTTTTCAAGGAAGGTGTTTTATCTCCATTATACAGATGGAGAAACTGAGGCTTGGAGGGGCACCGCATGCTGAGGTCATACTGTGTGATTTGTATTCCTTATGCCCATGGCCAGGTCTGTCCCCTCTCCTGAGGATTGTCTCCACCTCTTCCTCACATTCCCTCCACTTCCTCTTCCTTACAGCCCCCCGTGGTCAGGTCCTTATTCTGGGACTGCTCCATGACCCCAGCCCAGCCCTGACCTCGCCTCTCTGCCTATCTGTCCACTTCTGGCTCCCAGCCCTGGTGGCCCTACCTCATTGGTGACTCTTCTCCCTGCAGACCTCAGTCCCTGAGCTTGCTACTAAGGAGACCAGCTGTCCCCTTTCATCACTTAGAACCTGCCTCTTTTACCTTGCCCCCTCTCCCTCTTGCTGCCCCCACATTCCCTGTCTGCTGGCCTTCTCTGTAACTTTATACTCAGTCACCTCCTCAGCTGGGCTCCTCCCTTTGCCTTTTAGGTGTGACCCTTGTCTCCCATCTTGAACAAACTCTTCAAGACAGAATGTGGTCCACAGCTACTACCGCCTTCCCCAGGACTGTCACATGCCTCTGTTTGGCTATCACTCATGCAGTGGGCCTGGCCCTCTGGTTGGCTACTCCCAGGCCTGTTCCCAGACTGCCTCCTTCTTCACTCCTCCTGATCCAGAATTGGGTGTGGGGCCTGTGTGTAGTGTGCATGTGAGAAATGGGTCTAGCCCTAGCCTGTCTGGGCCTTGGGCTACCTTGAGGAGCCTTGGTTTCTCCATCTGTCGAATTGGTTCAGGAGTCTTTGATCCCTCAGATCTGTGTGGGCAATGCCCTGGGCCACTTCCCTTCTGTGTGGCCATATGGTAGCCTATGAGGACCCTCCATGAACCCCTTTGTTTAGTAGAGCTGGCTGGTCCTGGCTGCGAGGCCCCACCCTCAGGGAGAAGATGTTTGGGGCAAGCTGGGAAGCCTAGGGTCTCATCTCTCCCCTCCCACAGCCCCTACAGATCGATGATGACTTCTGCGGGCAGGACTTCAACCAGCCGCTGGGGGGCACGGTTACTATTGAGGGCATGCCCCTGTTTGTGGACAAGGAGGATGGCCTGACTGCCGTGGCTGCCTATGACTACCGAGGCCACACCGTGGTGTTCACTGGCACACGAAGTGGCCACATCCGAAAGGTCAGGCCTGGGGTAGGGTTTGGGTGGGGTGATGGGGTGGTTGGAGCTGGGGGTAGGAGACAGCATTGCTCTGTGACCTGGAGACCAGATCCAGTGTATGAAGAAGTCGGGGCACCGTATCTGTGCTAGGATCAATGACCATGAGGACTCAGGCAAGGGCTAAGGGTGGGCCAGGGTGCCTCAGTGGGCCTGCCTCCCCTTGCTCCTCCTGTGTTCCAGTGTTGCATCTGACACTGTAGGGGCCCTAGCTGGGCGGGTCAGGGTTTGTGAGAGGCCTGGCAATCCTGCCATCCTCCTGGGGCCCAGAGATGCCCTACTCTGAGGATGCACAGTGACTTGGGAAATCTGTGTGTGTGGGTGGTGGGGGCATGCCTGCCTGAAACCTCTCCCCTCCTGGGGATCCATTGTTTGCTAAGGTAGCACTCTGCTGTGTGGAAGGCCCCCTTTTCTTTGAGGAGGCAGCAATGCCAAGGGCTGACGTGAGTGGAGTATGGTGACTGACTGCAGAGTGATAGGGACCAGCTTCAGGACCATTCCCTGGACTTCTCAGGATGAGAACTGGGGGTAATGTGGTGCAGAGCTGTCTGATGTTTCCAGGTTTCCTTCTTATCAGCAAGTGTTGAGCTGGACAGAGCTGTTATAGAACTGGGCTGGGAGGGCTTCCTAGAAGGGCAGATGGAGTGAGCCACCTTGTGTCAGGCTGACTTGGTGGGTGGGTGGGTAAAGGAGGACCAGACAAGGGTAGGACTGGCCTATGTGGAGGAAGTTCCCAGGGCAACTGTAGGGTGGGATACCTGGGAGCCCCAGGTCAGTGCAGGGGTGGAGCTTGGCAGATGAAATAACAGGTGTCCTGAGGCCTAGTGCTGACAGCTCCCTGCTGTGCACCCATGGGTGGGGCGAGACTTGCCTGTGCTTTCAGCTCCCATGCACAGTATGCAGGAGAGGGATCCCCCTGTCTGCATGGTGGGAATCCTGTTCCACCACTTTCAGACTCTGTAACCTCAAGAAGGGACACCCTTCCCCTCATCTTGTGCTAGGGTGGCCCTGGGGCCCAGTTAAAGACCACCCTGGGGTGCTGTCGGTTTCTGCTCACTGTGACTGTGAAGTTGAGTGCTTGCCCAACTCCAGCTGGCAGGGATGGAGAGCAGGCCAGTGTAGACCCTGCCACCTTCCGTGCAAGCTCCTGTGCACTCAGAACCAGTTCTCTGGTGTGACCCATTCTCACACCCCCAGCTCTGGTGTTGAGGGTACTGCCTGTGGCCTGAGTGTACTGACCTTTCCCTTTCCGAGATGAAGCCCCTACTCAGCATTCACTCCTTCTTTCTGTCCCAGGGAGGACACAGAGGGCTGGGGAAGAGGGGTTGGCATTGGATCTTCTATGTGGTGTGTTGTGCAGGGTGTGCCTGGTAAGGCCAGAGAACCTCCCCGTGAGGTGAGTGCCTGGAAGTGGTAGGGGAGTCTGTTGGAGACATTCCACAGGGTGTCCCAGAGCTTGTTACCCAGCAGGAGGTCGGGCTCCCTGGGGCTGGGAATGCCTCTTCCAACCTTTTGATGGCTGGCAGGCAGCTGGCTGGGGTGCTGTCTGTGTCCACAGACCACCCTGCATGTCTGGGAGAACAGGTTAGTCCAACCCTACTCCCTCCTCCCCAACACACATACTCCTCACTCCCCTGCCTCAGGGCCTCTTCTGGGTGGGGTCTGGGTGAGAGCTTTTGAGTCCAGTTAGTCCTGCTCTCCTGCCTCCCTGACCACTCCTACAGGAGAAACTGAGACCCAGCATGTGGATTGTGGAGTTGGACTTGGGCCCATTAATGAGAAGATGCTTAATTGAGCATGGGGAAACCACAGCCAGAAGTCCCCTGCCTCCTCTCCTCGTCTCCCACTGCACCATAACTGTTTTACAGAACCCTATCCTGGGTACTGGCTCCTTCCACCCCTGGACTCATCAGCTGGGCACCACGCACTACACATGAGTGGACAGCGCTCTTTCTGGGTGGTGGGTCAGCCATGCCCAGGTGCTGCTGGCCTGGTGGTGGTAGTCTGCGAGTTTGGGGATTCTGTTGCATTGGTGTTGAGGCTTCTCCATGGAGTTGTGTCCCTGCCTCACCCCTAGACCTGCCACACGCAACCCTTTCATCCAAATGTACGTGCCTGAATAAAGGACATCTCAGCAAGCCGTCACATTGTTGTTCACACCTCAGTCTCATGCAGTGGCTCTCATCCTCACCAGCTGTGTGATCTGCTGGCCAGTCCAGCTTCTCTGAGCCTTGGTTTCCCCAAGAGCAGGATGAGGGAGAGGATGTGCAGGCAGGCCCAGAGCCCAATGCACTCCTGCTCCCTCTTAGGACATGTAGTGAGTGCTCATGTGGTGGTGTCTCATGGAGTCCTCAGCAACGCTGTCATTCACTTGATAGATGGGGAAACTGAGGAATATAATTGGAAGTGGCTGGTGTCCAGCGTTACTAGCGCCAGGGTCCTCGCTTATGACTATAGCCTCTCTCCCTTTTGTATGGGTCCCTAGCAGACAGGAAATGGGAGCCCTTACTTCAGTGACCTTCTCTCTCTCTCTCTCTCTGAATAAGCCTAAGGTGTGGCCCCTTACCCAGAAGCCCCCCATGGCCTGCTCCTGTCTTGAGCTGCTAGCCTGCTGGGCTTTTTCCACAGCCCAAGACATCATCATGGGACCAGACTGGGCTCCAGCTCCTGTGCCTTCCTCTTTCTCTGCCTTCCACTCCTAGAAATTGTGTGGCCTTGGGGCTCAAATCAACCCCAGGGCACTTCTACAGGTGGGGGTTGGAGTAGGGTGGGGCTAGGGGGAAAGGGTGCTCTTTTTGTCTGACTCCCCTCTTACCTAGGGGCCCTGCCTGCCACCTGCACTCCCCACATAGGCAGCCCGTCCTCCTGGGCTGACATACCCCAGAGCCCCAGCCCTGCATGTAGCCCCCCCCCCCCCACCTCTCCTGTGGCCTTGGGGACCTCCTGGGCCCTTTAGGAATTCCCAGGGCAACCATTGGTTTGAGTCCTTTGGAGTCAACTCAGGTGGGTGAGGAGAGAACAGGCCCTAGACTCCTGCCAGTGGATGCCCTCCCTATCTGTTCCCCAGCCCGCCTTTTCTGACTCCCTTTCTACAAAGCAAAGGTGGAAACAGGTCCTCTCCCTGCTGCAGGGCCCAGGGGCTTGGCAGAGGAATTCAGTTTTGCCCTTAGTTCAATGCTGCACACTCTGGTAGCTATGGGCCCTGTCTGTGCAAATCTGTATTTTGCGTGAGATCTCTTGATTGTTAAGCTTTGGCAACTAATGAACATTTGTAAAAGTTGTCATGAATCAACCCAAGGGTACTATGAACCACCAGTATGTGGCCTGGGGATATGGGCCATGACATTGTGGGCCCCCAGGGTATTGGAGAGCCTTGGGGATCGGCCCAAGGGACAGCTGTCCAAGTGGGTGCTTGGGCTGCTCCTGTCCAGAAGTGAAGCCCCCTCTTCTCGGGTCCTGAGTTTCCTTCCCTCTACACTGGATGGGCCCTGCCTCCCCAGAGCTGTTGGGTGGCCCATGGACAGGTTGATGTTGTTTTCTCCATAGTGATTCATGTGTGGAGGAGAGACAGAGCTGTGGTTGCATCACTTGTGCCCCAGAGCCTGGGCCAAGCTGGCTGGGCTGCCATTCTTATGCTTGAAGCCTCACAACTGGAGGTTCCTGTTCTCACCTTGTCCTTGGACATCACTGCTTTGTCTGTGGTTGCTGCTCTTGATTTAGACTGCCAGGGACAGGGACACCTGTTACCCTCCAAAGGCCTTCACATCTCTAGAAGCTTCCCTCTAAATGCATCTTTCCACTCCCCTGGCACCACCTTTCCCCTGACAGGATTCTGAAATTCAGAGACCATGCAAGTCAAGTGGCACATTTAAGATCTATGTGGAGTGATTGGCAGCAAGTTCCTGCAGCTGGGGTGGCCATTGTGGGCCTCTTCTCAGGATCTCTGTGCCAGGTTCTTCCTGCCCTGGGCTGAAAGCCTATTTGATGTGTTGATCAGGGACCTGTTTCCCAAAGCCCAGGTCTGTACAGGAGGCAGGTTGTGGAGTCTTGTGAGACTGGGGGCAAGGGTGGGCAGGGATGCTGGCCCCAAGAGAGATGCTGAGCAGGACTGGGCCCCAAGACCTCAAACCTCTCAGCTCTCTGTGCCACCTTCCCCTGACCTGCTGCCTGTGGCCCTGTGGATCTGCATCTTGTGTATCTGGGGGCAGGGGGGTGGTGGATGGTGATCTCCAGGAACTTGCCCTCCAAAGACTATAGGAGCTCAGAGGAACAGACTGCACTGTTGGCTTCTGTGGGTCGGCAGGCATTCTCATGCTGAAACATGAGTACGTGGCTGTTTGTAGTGTGTGGCTACTCTGTGACTGACGTCCCCTCTGAAGGGTGATGTACCCGCAGGACAGCACACAGCTGTGGATGGACAGCCCTGGAAGCGTCACACAAGAGCATACTGTATACCTTGTCTCCTTGAAGCCCCCAGTCACTCCCCTTCTTCAAGGGTTACTACACTGGTTGACCTCCATTCTCCCTAGGGCTGTGTTGCTGGTTTGGGGACTTTTGTCACTTGAGCCACACAGCACAACTTTTTTTGTCTTCCTTTGCCTAGGCTATTTGTGAGACTTGCCCTGCTGTGTGGGTAGCCAGGGCTGGTTCTGTGTTGTGGTGGCTTTTACTCCACACATATGTGCATGGTGTTATTCTACTTGGAGGCACTGTGCGTTCCACATGGCTTTGTGACAGCAGTACTGCTTACGAGTTCGTGCGCAGCTTCTGTGTGCGACTTCAGTGAGTACAGAGCCGCATTTTTGTTGGGTTTCTACCTGGGAGTGGTGCTGCCAGATCTGCTATGGTTTTCTTGTCATGAATCTCCAGGTGTTTTCCAAGACTAGGTGGGGATGTGTGAGAGTGCCTGGCAGGGTGTTTGGTCAACTTACAGTCATGCTCATGGCAGGTTACTGGTCCTGGTG